GATTTAACTTATCATTTATCTTTTTTTGGGAAATCTTAAACACATTTGCTTTTTCGAATTTCGATCACCTTTTTCATGCTAATACTCCACCGTGGTGTCGTCAAAATGTCATAAAAAGATGGGGCTCTGGCAGCCACATCTACATTCCGAGTTTCAGCCCCTAACCCATCCTGAATTGTCTGTTTTACGACTCAGGTAAGATTTCGACAGACGATGACAGAAAATAGGCAGATGACGTCCATCTATATCAATCCATTTATTTCACTAAAAAAGTTTCTAATATTTTAAGTTTATTATGGATATATTTATTCATAAATCCGTCATGCGTCGTCTCTTGTTATTTTTAACCAGTCTTATTGGTTTATTAAAAAAAAATGACATCATATTCAAAATTATCATATTTCAACATGATTGGAGTGACGGAATGATGAACGACCCACGCAATATGAACTGGACTTAAGAATTCTGAGACTTGTCAAACTCTTACCAAATTACAGATTGGAATTTATGTCAAATTATGTCAAATAACTTGCGATCTGAAAAATCTTAACATTTGCTAATTGATTTTGCATTTTGGTTCGTGTTATTACGTGTATTTTGTGTTTTTAAAGTTAAGTAGGCCAGAGCCACGAATAAAGTTTATATACCATCTCGTATGGCACTAAAAACTGGAGTAGCTGTAAAATAAAGACATCACACACAAACGATAGGCAAATAATAATAGATTTTACTACTGTAGAGAGATAAAGCTTCATTCACCTCGGAGTTAGTGGAATAAATTAGTGGTTTCAATTAGCGTAGAAGTTTGTCCCTCTAATTCAAAAAAACCTCAGAACGTCAAAAATAGTGGTAGGCATTTTCAGTTAGTGCAAAAAGTCAAAAAACTTTTAACTTTTCCACTAATTATACTTTGCGACGAATGTTATTTTGGCCTTTGATTATCATCCGTCAAGAGAAAATGTGGTTACAAATAAAAACTTTATCGTTTTAGAAGCTAAATATTCTTATAGTTAAAAACAAAATTACAATTGGGTGACTACCCAATTGTAATTGTGTTTTTTAGATATAGAAATTCTTAAAGACGTCAGACAAGGATGAATATTATCGCCACTTCTGTTTAATTTATATTCTGAATCGATATTCCAGGAGGCATTGGAAGATTTGGAAGTGGGAATAAAGGTGAATGGTAAACCTATTAATAACATCCGATATGCTGACGATACGGTGCTCCTCGCTGGCATGAGAAGGATTTGCAGTGCCTGGTGGACAGAGTTAGCAATATTAGTCAGAGTCATGGTCTTAAAATAAATATAAACAAAACAAAATTTATGATTATCAGCAAACAAAGTATTGAAAATATCAAGATACAAGTGGAAGATCAAAATATAGAAAGGGTAAGAAGATCCGAGACCTTAATCTGACTACTCGATGGCGAGCTACCAAATGCTATGTACTCTCTAAATTGTTATACGGAGTCGAGGGATGGACGTTGAAGGCACGGACCATGTCACGCTTGGATTTAGATGTGGCTTTGATTTGAGATGAGATGTGGTTATACCGACGAATGTTGAAAATATCCTGGACCGAACGAACAAAACAAATCTCGAAGTATTGGAAAGAATGTGTAAGGACCAAGAACTATTGACTACAATAAAACGACGGAAAGCAGCATATTTTGGTCATATTTTTCGAAATAACAAATATAGTTTCCTACAGCTGATCGTTGAGGAAAAGATTGAAGGACGACGAGGCATCGGGCGTAAACGGTTTTCCTTGTTGCGCAATTTGCGCCAGTGGTTTAATATAGGAGAGGCCAGTGCAATTATCCGTTTGGCTCAAGACAGGGAGGAATTCCAATTGATGGTCGCCAACCTCCGATGAGGAGAAGGCACATGAAGAAGAAGATATTGTGAATGATTGTAAACTAAAACTATAAAGTGTAATTGAAACCACTAATTTGTTGCACTAACTGCGAGGTTCTGAATGAAGCTTAAGGACAAAAGATACTGGTTTAAAAATATTAATAGTAAAGTTAATTAGCTAACTTTTAAGGTATAAAATTCAGTGTTTGTAAATTATTGAAATTATTATTAATAAAATATTTGGTTTTATATAAGTTGTGTCTTCTTTATTTCTGTGCAATATTAAAACTTTTTTATTTCTATATAAGTTTTATTCTATATATAAGTTTCTTGAAGTTTGAAAGTATAAAAAATGGTGCATTTTTATTGATTTCTGTATGTGGTGTTTTGTTTAACATACACCCTTGTTTGTATTAGTACACGCCATAAATTTATATTTTGAAATACAATAAATCGATTAGATATTTTCAGTTTTATACAGATTTTTTTCATAATATGTTAAAGTCATCATTTGTCACTAAAATTTTAATTATAATTTCCTGCTTTCCAATTGTACCAAGTTATATTTTTGTAAAATAAAATTAACTATTAAATGTCAAGGATTTTGTCGTTGGCCAGAATATACAGGGTGGCCCGAACTGTATTCCGGAAACTTTAGCAGCGTATTCTGCAGATAAAAATAAGTAAAAAAATTCGTATAAATGTATGCCCTAAAATGATTAGTTTCGGAGATACAAGGTGTAGAAGTTTCAATTTTATTTCGATTTTTTCCAAATAATTTCTGAAATAACATCAATATTTGGATGAACATTGGTGTTTGGGAGTTTTTTGACATGAGAAATTTGATTTTGATGTCAATTTGACTCATATTTGTAAAGGGCGCCATCTACATATTTTTTTAACTGGTATGAAGAGTAATGACTTTTTGTCCGTACATGTTTAAAACTAGTGAGTTGTTAAAGAATATACATTTGCGATTTTTCAACGGAAAAAGGTCTCTTGGTAAAAATCGCTACGAGTAATGGTTCTCGAGATATTTTGAATCGAAATTACCAATACCTGTCATCATTGACATAAATTCAACATGTTGACTAAATAGTTATTAGACTGAAATCATAAATTTGAAATGTTTTTGTGCTCAAAGTTCAACAGAAAATGTTTTATCATCATTTTTTCGAAGAAAAATTTATAATTAGTTAAAAAAACAAATTTCCCATTTCAGTCAAATAACTATCTGCTCAACATGTTTATTTTTAGTCAATAATGACATGTATTGACTATTTCCATTCTAAATATCTTGAGAACGGTTGCTCGTAGTGAGTTTTCCCAAGGTACATTTTTTACGTAGAAAATCACGGAAATGTATATTTTTTCACTCAGTAGTTTTATACAGGTATGGACAAAAAGTTATTACTCTTCAAAACAGTTAAAACTCATGTAGTTGGCGCCCCCTACAAATAGGAGTCATATTGACATCAAAATCAAATTTCTCATGTCAAAAAACTTCCAGACACCAATTTTCATCCAAATAGTGACATTACTTCAGAAATTTAAATAAAAATTAAATTCCTACACCCTGTATCCCTGAAATTAAACATTTTAGGACATACTTATATATGAACTTTTTTACTTATTTTTATCAGTAAAATATGGTGCCGAAGTTTCCGGAATACAGTTCGGACCACCCTGTATAGCTACTTAAATTTATAGACTGTTCACAAGTTTGATATTTACATTCCCAAATAATATTTTTTAGATTGCGAGACTTAAGTCTCTACGGTAAATCTGTAACGGTAAACATAATTTGATGCTTCATTTAAATGTCGAGTTTTCAGAAGTCATAAACTAATATTAACATAAGCTTCATATTTTTCGTTATTAAGCGGAGCGCTAAACTAAAAAGTGTATCTGTTATAGTAAAAGATGGAAATCAGTGATTGTTAACAATTACTAGTAAAATCTCACATTCACTGGTTTGCAAAGACTACGCCAGTAAAAGTTCAACAACTATTTTTGAAACCAACTTTTACTTGTGAATGTTAGCATTCCCTGAACGATAGCAGGATAGCAGTGAGTTTGAAAGATTCAGTTAGCGCGGTTGTCACATGTTGTAAAGTGTATAGATAAATAAGGATAAGTTGATAGAATTGAATAGGCAATATAAGGATAACATTAAATTGGGCTAAACGTCGGCATCGTAGACAGACACGCACCTTGCGTAAATTCGCTTTGTTTTTTGTGGTTATGTATAACTGTTTTGTTATCGTTGTAAAAAGTGCTGTGCGGTATTTTCGATATGGAAGAAATTTTCTGTGAAAAATTAAGGTAAACTAGGCACTCGCAAGAATGTAATAGTGCTTGTTTTTTGCAGTATAATGACGGGTTTGAAAAGACGAATAATTTCCACTGAAGAAAATTCGGGCATACATTATTTTGTCCACGATAAAGAACTTTATTAAAAAAGCCTTGTCCCAATAAGTAATTTTATGTTTATGAATGTTTTTTTAATTGTTCTCCCTTTTAATATTTAGAATGTTGTAATTCGTTATTTTCTAATAATGTAATGTCGTTATTTTCTAAGTCACTTGTAATCCCTTTTATTTTAAGCGCCTCAATTACTTTTTCTGGCAACCTTTAGTAAATGTTACTTTCGCTAGTGAATGTTAGAAATTACTAGGAAAAATCGACAAATCTTTTTAAAATGCAACATTCGCTGATCAAATGCATAATTGCTAGCATTTCCTAGTGAATGTTAACAATCACTGAATTTTCGACTTTTACTGTGACATATCTACTAAACTAAAAAGTTTAAAATTAGCAATCTTACGATTAATATTATAATAAGGGTCATTAGAACTGCGGATCTGCATAAATCAATTTAGGAAGTGTCCTATAAATTTAAAAAAAATGCGCCATATGTCCTGAACACAACTGGTTTTCATTATCAATTTCAATCCTCAGCCCATGAGTAATTAGTCCGAAAATCTAATATTGATTAAAAGAAGGGCACATTTCCGAAAGAAATTGAAAATAACAAACCACGCTAACTAAATAATATTTTTAAATTTTCGATATAAGTCACAAAGAACTCAATAAGTGAAATTCAAGTTGGTTTATTTGTTTCAGATTAACTGAACCATGCGTCGCAGTTCCGTAGCCCGCCTGCAGTCCCAAACCTCCGAACCAGTAATCGTCGTCGAAGACCAAGAAAATGAAGAAGAAGCCCAAAAAAGCAGCTCGCAGCACAGTTCCGAAGACGAATCCCCCAGCATGAACCCCTACCTCCTCTCGCCCTTCGCTAGAGACATTCGAAAACATTCGCTACCCACGCCGCAATGCAGCGGCATCACCGCAAGCCAAATCCGCCGCCTGTCAGACCGTGGCGGCGAGACAGGACCTGGTCCCAGACAAGCTGAGTTTTTGGCAACGCTGTCACAAGCGCCTCAGGTTTCTCCTGGAGGCCGACGTCACTCGGTCGTTACGATATCGAAAGTCCCCACCACGATATTCGGTAGAAACAGACGGGAATCTGTTGCGGCATTTCCTTCCAGTGGGTTTCCCCCACGCATTCTTCCAAACAGGAGGGAATCAATCGCCTGTCCACCCTCAACTGAACGGGGTAGCGTACATAACCTCCAGTTAGACATTATGGATGATATAGTGCAGGCACGAAAGGTACGAATGAAAGTATGGAACACTAGCAGTGAGAAACTGTGCGAAGTCCAGCCTTTAGACGAGCCTTCAGGCAGCGTTCAGCGCTACACCAACTCGGGCCGAAGATTTTCCGATTTCGTCGGTACGACTCTGCCGCCCATCGTGAGCTCGAGCAAGCGCAGAGCCTCCGAGCTGCCCCCTTTTCCTCCCGCCATCGCAACAAGTAAGATAAAGTCTGGAATAGTATGCACTAACACTGATCTTATCTCTATTTTATCTTCTCTTTCCACGTCTGCCACCGAAATCAATCAGTGGGAGAAGGAAGTCCAGACTCCTCCTCCGCAGCCGACAACAGCTAGGGCTGGTAAAACCACTGAGGAACAAACGCACAAGCCGCATAAAAGCAGCAGCAGGTCAAACAGTTTCGACGTCTCCGTGTTGCAGGACTCGACCTCCAAAGACGCGGAACATTCCAAACAATTCCCTAGCCTTTCGAATTGGTTCACGAAAAGACACCAGCCCAAAGCGCAGGAAACGTCGGGCCCTGAAAGAAAACTCTCCTTTTTGGAGAACTTGTCGAAGAAAATCATCGAAAAAGAGCCGGGACGGGTTGTTTGGGATGAGAGAAGCGGATCTCTGGTAGATCCACATGCGCTAGGAAGCGCGATCGAAGTGTTTCTTAGGCAATCGACCCCTGATTCGCCATCTGCAAAAGAGGCACACGCGTCTTCATCAAACAGAGGTAGTAAACTGGCCGATAAGTTTCTAGGAGCGGCTAGCAAAGTTAAAGCTAACTGGTTTTCTAAAGGAGACGAAGATTCGACCGAATCTTGCGACTCTTCCTTGTGCGCCACTCTCAAAGATCTATTTGTTAAATAATATTACTCTTCCAATTTTTATTTGTATTTTTCTAAATGACTGTTACATTATATCTGGCTCTATTCATTTAGATAAACCGACTTTGCCTTCAAAACTAACGACTTCGACAAAACTAAGCCTAAAAGAGACTTGGAAACTAAAACTTCATAATACATATTAAGAAAATATAATTTTGGTTTTTATAACATATCACCTATCGAATCAACAGTTGCTCCTTATTACGAATTAAAAAACAGGCACATCCTCCATTTAAGTAATTTTAGACGTACTTATAAATAAAGGAAAGAAATAAAGGTCACAGTTTTTGCTTGGATCGACTTGACGCTGTTTTTTTTTTTATTCGCTCGTATGACACACTTTAGCATGCTACTATCTACAGTTATACTGTAGTAATTCGTGTCTAAAGGCTTTTTTGTTTCTAGTTAATATAATTATTAATCATTTTACTCAAATTTAAATTCAGCAAGAATTTGAAAGCAGTTCATAAATGTATGTCAAGCCCTTATTAATCTGCAAAGTAATTATATTTTGCATACTAATGTGTGTAGACACTCTAAATTAGTTTTGTTTTATAAACCAAATCGCAGAAAATCTTGCTACTCTTCTCTCAATACTATTAGATACAACTAGCAATCAGAAAATTAAAAGAAATTTCACGTAATTGAAAGATAAACGAGGCAAACAGCAGAACTGTTTTAAAAAATATGTATCTTACGTAATTTTAAACTTCCCGTTGAAACCAAATAAAGCATGTTAAAGAGCTTAATAACTTTTGCTTTTTTTTATTGATAAAGAAGATTAGTTCGAAGAAGCGGGAAAAGATGGCAACTCCTCAGAAAACTTTAAATGAAAAAGGAAAACTAGAGACCATTGAAGTGTTTAAAAAGACAAAGGGCAGCGACAGTTCTGATATGACCTCTCGAAAAGGTTCAACAGTCTAAGCCCACGGCCACACAGAAAGCGTTTTTTGCGATTTTTGCGTGAAATGTCATTAGCGACTAAAACAAAATAACAGGATTATATAGGAGTGGCCCCACCAAAAACGTGTAACGGTCGGCGTGTCTCACAAAAAACGCAAATGAAATCAAATCAGTTTGTTTTCTGTAGCGTCTTTAGCGATTTCTAAGATGAGACCCCGCCATAGCCGGACGTCATATTTAATAATACAATAAAAATACGTTAAAAAGTATGATTTTTTTTTCATTTTAGGGTATTATCTAAAAATATTTTTTATATTTTATTATTTATATAATTATTTTTTATATTTATTTTTAAAAAATTCTATTAAATTAAAAAATTAGAAGGAAATGTTTGAAAAAGTGTAGTTTGAAATGTTGAAAAAGTAATAAATTAAAGGAATATTTTCTTGCGCGTAAAAAATAGTTTTTTATGCGTAAAAAGTGTTTTTTTTTCTGTGTAAAAAAAGGTTTTTTAAAAGAAACAAATAATTTTTTACACGTAAAAAATATTTTTTTTGGGCAAAATTTTTTTTTTAGCAGAAACAATAAGTTTTTGATGCGTAAAAAACTATTTTTTTTGCGTAAGAAAGGCTTTTTACCAAAAAAAAATAAGTTTTTGACGCGTAAAAAAATAGTTTTTTACGTGTAACTAATAGTTTTTTACACGTAATTTTTTTTTTTTTGGGTAAAAAAGTTTTTTTACCAGAAACAATCAGTTTTTGATGCATTAAAATTAGTTTTTTACCTGTCACAGTTTTATTAGTGTATCAAATGATTTTTTTTACACGTAATAATTTGATTCACTTTTACAAAATTTGTATTAAAATATCAATATTTTTGATAAACACGTGGACCACTTACAAATATACGTTGCGTCACTACGTATTTCTAACAACGCTTTCAGATGGAGCGGACCGTCCGCGACGGACCGTCCGTCGTTTCTTTTCAAGATAGCCGTCGGACGAACTCCTGTGAAATTGCTCATATAAACTCATGGTACTTGGTCGAAGTCGCGGACAGTCCGCTCCATCTGAAAGCGCTGTAAGCCGTTAACACGTTTCGTTACAACTAGCTCATGTGTCAGGGCCGTCTCGCTAGCTCGTATGTCACCGCCTTGAATTTTTACTCCCAGCGCGCGTAAAGAAGTTTCACTCCAAAAAGTTTTATAAATCATGTCCTAAAATTGCGTTAGCAACTAGTAATATTTACTATGCTATTATGTAATTATAATTATTTATTATTATATAAGGATTCTTGTCACTTAACTGCTAATATAGAAATTTAATTCTACGCTGTGTTTGTCATAATGCGGATCAACCTGCTCTCACTACCGGTTTCGGGGCCCTACTCCATCATCAGGTGAGCTTGGGAGATCCACAAAATGACAACCACAGCGCAGAGATAGTTAATTCCGACTTGTCGAAAAGTATCGGTTAGTATCGGTCAATGACAAACACAGCGTAGAATTAAATTTCTATATTAGCAGTTAAGTGGCAAGAATCCTTATATAATTTTATTATATACCTCTACTGCAAGAAATCTGTTTTCTATTTTTATTATTTATTATATTATATTATAATTATAACAAGTAACTACAACACCACAACATAAAAAAACCATACACATATAAGCTAAAATTCATAAAATAAATGGTAAATAATAATTATTATTTTTACACACACCACTGGCACTAGCAGTAGATTGTGTTTGTCGCCGAATATATGCTCCGGCCCGTCCACAATTCAACCCCAGCATCTTTTATCTTCGTCTCTTCAACGCTAACCGCGCCGATCTCGCATATCTCTGTCTCACGGGATTGATTGTTGAACGGGCCTGGAATCCACGAGCTTGCGACGTTACTAATTGACATCTTGATAGAAACTGCAGACCTGTAGCGTCTTTTTCGTCTTTTGCGTGTTTTTAATGGACACAAATCGAAAAAACGGTCAAAACGGTAAAATCGCAAAAAGCGCTTGAGACGCAAAAAACGCAAAACGCTAAAAACCTAACTTAACCTAACTAAACTTAACCTTAAAACATTGCTTAAGGTGAGAAAAAAAATAATTGTGTATAATAACTTTATAGTTTATGGTTATTATAACGAAAAACTCTCTCAGTATTGCTCCAGGCTTAGAATTACGACATTCAATTTTCTGAGCAAATAGACACTTAGATAAAAGTTTGTATAAGTATTCAATAAAATAGAACTTGGCAGAGAAGGCACGTATCAAAGAATTTTATTTAGTCTATACTAAGTGGTTTTTGAAATGTCACCATATTTATACTACAATTTCTGCAGATTTAAAGCTCCCCAGAATAATAAAATAGCCAATTCATTATAATTATTTTACAAATTTTAAATATTTTATCATATTGTCTTTTTCGACATACAAAGTAAAAACAGTCAATATAGAAACTTAGAAAATCAAGCTTATATACAGGGTAGCCCATCGAAAACGTTCCACATGGCATAACGGCCAGTGTAATTCTTTTTTCAGAAAATCCAAAAACACGTCAATTTTGTTTGTGAGGGGGACAACTTTTGCCCCAAAAATGTTTGCAAAATTTTCAACCCTCCAAGCGGGGGTGTCATCCCCCAACTTTTTTCAAATGGGAAAGGGGGTCAAGTGGCACCGCAATGAAAAGAGCTTTCTATTCTCTATATTTCTCCGCTTCGTTTTTGAAAATCGGTCGAGTCTTTGAAAAAATATGAAGGATTGAAATTTGAAAAGTTTATTTAAACATTTATCAGACTAAATGATAAGGATAAATTCCTTCGACCAATTTGCTGTTTTTTCTTATTATTTCTAGATGTTTACGCATTTTTTCAGTTGCCACAAGGTTGAACGATCAAGTGCGGTAGTTGCTAGATAGCTGTTCTGTGACTTGTGCGTTCTTCTTGTGCTTGAAAGTTCTTCTCAATATCGTTAAACTTTTTAACAATTATGGTGTACTCACTTGCAGAAAAAGTGGATATAATCGAACTTTATTTTAAAAATAATGAATGTGGCAATCGGTTTGCGCAGATATTCAATGAACGCCATCCTGACAAACACCTTTATGGCAAAATTGTTCGCGATTTAGTAGCAAAATTTCACGAAACTGGTTCCGTTATGAATAAAAAGAGGCAGAGGGAAAATCCTGTAGTAAATGACGCTATGGAGGTATTCGTATTGGGCCAAGTTGCCATAGGTAGTACGCTGAGTACAAGAAAATTAGCCAATGAGACCGCGACCGGCGTGAATCGTACAAGTGTCCAAACGATATTAAAAAAACACAAGTTCCACCCGTACAAAATTCAGTTGGTACAAGAACTCAACGAAGACGATTTTGGTTGTCGCGGGCTGGTATTTTTGAAAATTCTATTGTGGGTCAGTTTAACGATATTGAGACCGCACCTGATCTTTCAACCTTATGGCAAGTGAAAAAATGCGTAAACATCTAGAAATAATAAGAAAAAACAGCAAATTGGTCGAAGGAATTTATCCTTATCATTTACTCTAATAAATGTTTAAATAAACTTTTCAAATTTCAATCCTTCATATTTTCTCAATGACTCGACCGATTTTCAAAAACGAAGCGGGGAAATATAGAGAAGAGAAAGCTCTTTTCATTGCGGCGCCAGTTGACCCCCTTCCCATTTGAAAAAAGTTGGGGGATGACACCCTCGCTTAGAGGGTTGAAGATTTTGCAATCATTGTTGGGGCAAAAGTTGTCCCCCTCCCATACAAAATTGACGTTATTTTGGATTTTTTGAAAAAAAAAATATCCTGGCCGTTATGTCTTGCAGAACGTTTTCGATGGGCCACCCTGTATGTTGTTCTTGGTCGAATAAAATATTTAGAAGACTCCTCATCAAAGAATTGGATAGTTCTAAATTATGAGGAAAAATACCTTGAAATAATAATGAATTAATAAAAATGTACCGATTAGAAAAAAAAAACTAAAAAGTTAGAAAATAAAATGATAAACTAAAAAAATTATTTTTAAAAACAAACATTTATTTATAGGAAAATAGACTTTAAATTAAATCAAATCTATAAATTTGTTACATTACACAATTTATATGATAAAAAGCTTGACGCTAGATGAGAACATGTATGAGAAATATACAGGGTGTTTCAAAAAACATGTGACATCTCTCGTGG